GTTCACAGTCTTTTATGTTTTTTATACTTAGATAAGATATAATCTCATTTATAGTACTAAATGAATAATAGCAAAAAGTCTATCATATTCATTCTCGATGTCTACTACACATCAAAATTCATTTTACTAGTATATATAAATTTAAGGATCTATTCATGTTCATCGTAATTCTGCATCCAGAAATATGAATCAAGATAAACAGTTTTTCTTTATGAAGGAATTTGATAACTAGTTACTATTTAAGGAAGAATTTAAAAATTGGTGTATTAACTACTCAGGGAATAAAAAGAATGCTGACTCTGGTGTGAAAAACACGAAGAAAAAATACATCTCGGATGATGAAATAGACAATATTTTATTTTCACTAATTAAAATGCAACTTTCCGTGAATATCGCGACATGAGTTTAATGCAAATTTTTATTTTATTCAATGAAAGATGAATCAAGACCAAACCAAGAATCCACTCGATTATATTGTGAATTTTATATTGATATAGAACATAATACGAAGTTAAATAAAATTATTCAAACGATAAGACATTTAGTTTATATTAATGAAGAAATACATATAAAATAATAAAATGGCTATACCTACTTACCTATAGATTGCCGTTACCTATACACATGTGTGTGCATAATAGACTAGCTCTATGCACATGTGTCTATATAAATGCTTCCTTTTTTTTCTGTATACTTGCTTATCGATTTTTGTTATTCTTTCTTGTCGACTGTACATATTATCGTTCTTTTTTTTTTCTATTTTTGTTGTGTCTTTAATATCGATTCATTCTTCTACTCCAATCGTTTTTTTCCTTTGTTGCTATAGTCTCTTTTATACAAACTCTTAATATTAAATTTTTCTGATATTTTTAAAATACCTGATTAATTTACGCGACAACTTTTCTATCGATACATAGTTGTGAGACGAATGTATGTTAGAGTGAGCACACGATCCCTTCCTACATGCTGTTTTCATTAGCATCCTATGTTTGACAGGTTCTTCATTTCAGTCTTTATATACAACTAATAACTAAAAAAATGTTTTTCACATAATTCGAAACGATAGCATTATATCTAATCAGAATCAAAAACATCTAGTATTAATTAACTAAAGGTAGTTCAACAATGGCAGGATACTGTTTATCAACTATAACATGCACTTGATTATTCCGCTGAGTTATTTTTCTCCAACATGATAAGAAGAGTGCGTTATATAACTTGTGTTTAATGTTCGGCATAAATAAAATACAAATATAAGGTAATAATAGTATCTGCAAATATGGAATAAAAGTAAAATATGTTGAAAGAAGATAGGCCAGTAACTGGCTATTGGCAAATATTTGAAAAAGTGCCATCGCAGAATGTGGAATCCATCCGATCATATATAGCAAAGAAACTGAAAGTAATTGGATGATCAATTTCATTGAGCGACGCTAGAATAGAAAAGCATGAAATATAGATGTATGCAGTGAACGTCAGAAAAAATCTCATCACCGTTCGTACCCATTGTTGACTTCTGCTTGCTATGATAATAAATCTTTTCATTCGGTGTCGCTGTATGATATGACGAATAATCGAGATGAGATTAACAATGAACGTGAAGATTACTACACACAACACATTTCCAATCCAATCGATCAGACCAAGAATCGACTCGTGTTGATAACATGCTCCACCACAAACATATTGATATACGTCATATTCTGACTGACATTTGTGTATTATTACCGCTCCCAAATAGAATAGTGGACAGTACAATAACAGGCATAGAATGGGTATAGTATGTAGCAATGCATAATGTCTTGTTATAAGCTGTTCATGATATATAAATAAGTACCGTTCCACTGATGCCCATCCCATCAAACCGATACTCAAAAGAAAAACTGAAGAATTGTAGACGATCCATCCTCTACATATATTTTCTGAAGGAATAAATCCATTGTAAAGATACATCAGTGTAATAGGAAGATCAGTAACGGCGATCACCGCATTGTTGACAAGCAGAGGGAAAAAGATTCGATTGTGAAAATCACGCCGTTTAAAATAACGAAAACTAAAATAAAATTATCGTTTATCAACATTATTTAATACGAACGAAAATTAGATAAAATAGCAGTAAATTCTTTTTTTATCATCAAAATTCTATAAGAATTGACATAGAGTTACCAGAATCTTTTAATATTGAACTACGAAAATTTCTGACATTTTATGCTTTTTTTGGCATAAGAAATTAAGAATATGTCTTGGAATCCGGAAAATTTCTGATATCGTTCTAACAGAAGAGAATGATAATGTTCTTTCATAAATGTTTATGGGTGTCAACGTTAATCATAATTATTGTCTACCGAGTGCCATTCTACTTTACCCTGCTCTGCACTTCGACTAGCAAATATGCACAGATGTGCACCCCTGAGAGTATGGGTGTTGAATCTTTTTTTAAGAATTTTTCAGATTTTTTTTCTCCGGATTTATGCTTTCCGGATTGTGGGACAATACTAAAATTAAGACGTCATTAATTTAAATATAGAGTAAAATATTTCTTTTAATATTTCTACGTGGTTCGATAGAGCTGGTCGAGCTCTTCAAACCGTATATATTAACATTTTTCTGAGACAAAAAATAGAAGATGTCACTTAGAAAATCCTGAAAAATGTGTAAAAACTAATTTTTTTTCTTTTATTCTTTCTAACAAAGACGCTTCTAAATATAATTGTTCGATACAGCGTGAAACACTACTTCTAACAAATATATTTAGGAGCGATTTTGTTGGTAAGAATAAAAGAAAAAAGCTAGCTTTATTAAGCAAATAAAAAGTGTTAACATGCACGATTTGTAGAATTTAATGAGTTCTATCGAACCATATAGAAATATCAAAAGAAAATATTTTACTCTATATTTAAATTGCTGACGTTTTAATTTCTTATGCTAAAAAAAAGCATAAAATGTCAGAAAATTTCGTAGTTCAATATTAAAGGGTACTGGTAACTCTAGTTGTTCAATACTAATGAATTCAGTGTTCAACGCGCTTTTACTTGACATCATAGTGCTACTCCCCTAGCGAAAAGGTTATGCACAACTTTCGTAAATAACTGAGTGGTGAGTCAAACTTACATGAAAACTGTGCAACATAGTGAAGGAATAACCATCATCAGAAGGATATAAAACTTGATATTTCTTTCGACTAATGACATCTTCAATACATCGGAATCTTCTCCACCAACATAGGATAGCGTATCGTTGAGTTCCATGAGAAATAATTGTTATTCAATGCTTGCTTACTTCTATTTAATATCAATTACTGATAAACAGGAAAAAATTTCAACTATTCTTTTTATTTTTTTTAATATAAATATTTATTATGCCATAATCTGGTTCACATTAGAAAGAAATGAGAAAGTATGCAACAGCAAAAAATATTAGCTATATGGAAAGAAGAAAAAAAAGACAAAATAAGAAAGAGAAGAAAAAATGTTTCTCAAATATAATTATAACGTATATATAAATAAATATCGAGAAATAGTGACGGTGACGTCAAGTAATCCGGAAAAGAAAAACTTGAGGGTGTGGGTATGAATAGATGCGGTATAGTTATCTCTTATTTGTCTTTCCACACACACACCCTCAGTTTTATATAAGATTTGTATTGCTATGATTAGATAGTATATTATTAAGTATAGATTTTTTATATTGTAACAAGAAAATGAAAACATTAATTAAGGCTAATCTCAGTATAGATAATTATTGAGTTGCATACGATCCCAGAGTGTTTTCACTTCGCGTATACAGATATATGAAAAAGAGAAATGAATGAAAAGAACAAAATGTGAATACTAAAATGTTTTTTTTAGATAAGAAAACTGTTTAAGCTTTTGTATACTATATTGATCGGATTGCCATGCATATCTCATCATTAAAAGATCCGACTTGAGTAAAATGGGTTTTGAATGAGTTAATACAGCGTTTGCAACATTACTTCTCGATCTGAGATGACTTTTTATCATATTCTCAACACATTAAAGCATTAAGTGTATAATATTTGCTTTGGACAGAGAGGTAATATTTTCTTTAACTTATTACAGAATAATAACCGTTCTACATTTGATCTTGTCAATTTGTGTGTCGTGTTAGAAAAAAAATTGAACATTATTACAACTTTTTTGAAAGTAAAAAAAAATGATATAGGATTTGTACGTATCCTATCTTAGAAAATGAAGAAGTTAAGATATTGATGTTGATTACATCCACCAAGATTTTTTTGGGATAAAATGTTTTATAGCTTACAAATTGCGTTGGTTGAATTGTACGATGAAAACTTGTTTCTCAAGATATTTCATGACATAGGAGGTATAGCTCAGTGGTAGAGCATTCGACTGCAGATCGAGAGGTCCCTGGTTCAATCCCGGGTGCCCCCTAGTCTTTTCTTTCTTTTTCTTCGTTATTGAATTTCTTGCATCATAATACAATGGCGTATTAATCGAACATACTGCCTATTATGATTTTTTTCATTCATTCCTTTGAATGATGACAAAAAACGTAATGATATATTTGAAAAATAGGAAAAAACATAGTTGTTTGTTTTTTATTGGGATTTTGTGTATTTTTTATAAAGCTTCAGATATTAATAGCTGAGTATAGTTAAATAAAAGATCAATGTTCACACACTCACCCTGAGTTAAGGGTTAAGGAAGTCCTCTCGACGATCGTTATTTTTCATATAAGCATCGACTATATGCTTTAGAATATTTCAATGGATTGAATAAATCACTCGAATTATAGAACGAGAAAGATTTTTGACTCATCAGTAGAAAGATAGAAGAAAAGTAATCTGACTAGCCGATCACTAAACTCCTTTGCATTGATATGCGCACACAGTATCAATCCTGTGGTTCTAATGATAAGGACAATCGGACATGCAATTATATAAAAGTACGGTAAAAATAAATGCACACTTGTTTAATGAAAAATAATAAATAGTCAAATTATAATCGTTAGTTTTTTGTTTAGACCATTCGTCCGATTGTTATTAAGAATAATGATACAAAAACAATAAAGAATGTGGTGAGTTGAAGTTTTTCACCAGCCGAAGGTGTTGTTGTGCCAACCAAAGGTGTTGATGTGGCAGCCGAAGGTGTTGATGTGGCAGCCGAAGGTGTTGATGTGCCAGCCGAAGGTGTTGATGTACCAGCCGAAGGTGTTGATGTGCCAATAGAAGTGACGGACGTGCTTTCTGTTGGCGGCACAGTCGGAAACTGTGGTTGATCGATGAGTTTGTCATCGGCCAGCATTTGAAGAATTTCTCGGACGGTTTCTTTTGAATTACACATATCTTTATTGCATGCGTATGAGACTGCAGTTTGGGTGGTAACAGCAGGCGAAGTAATCATGGCCCTAGTGATTGTAACACCGGCTGGATTAGAATCGATACCTTTGGGTACGCAACTGCCTCCTATTGATACTCCATTGCCATCGGAAACCACTAAACAGAATCCGTCCATGCATTCGACTGAATCACCATGCTCATTTGCACATTTCAATGTATTTGTTGGTTGACCATAGAGACGCGTGGCCAACTTTTCCTGAATAGGAATAAAGTCAAATGTACGCACTATAAAATGAATAAAGCAATAAAAAACAAAAAATATCGGAAAATTGATTTTATGATTAGATAGGACGAAAATAGAAATTTTCAGAGATGTATCTGAAAATGTGTAGATCTTCTATACCGATCGGATGCACCCAAAACAATTTCTCCTTAAAAAGCAAAAGTTTCAATAAATTCAGAGTCATCTATTGTGAATTATACTCTTGTTAGCTCTGTAGCTTAATTTATGATTCTTAATTTAGCGTTAAAAGATAGAACTCTATAAGTATTGTCTTACTTTCAGCGTAGGCTCTCTGTATGTCATCAACACCGCATGATGTGCTCGAAAAACATATTGCATTAGCCAAATAGTTCACATAATATTTGTTAAGCCAGATAAATATTTCATGACTAATAACTGGAGCACCATTACTCAGCAAGAGCATCTCAGTTGGACTACCCAAAAACCCAGCAAAACTCTCATTTTGTTGTACATAATTGAGACGAAGATTCGCTACACAGAATTTGGCGTCAGTATTCTTACATTCGTCCATGTTAATCTTCGTATCTACGGTTATATTCAATTGAATATAAGGACAATCCATACAACCGATCGCTGATGTGCCATACATGAACATCATAATCGTTGCAAGAACGATCAAAAAAGTGTTTAAAATCGACATCTATAAAAAAGAGTCAAATGATAAAATAAAAAGATGTAAATTTGAATCTACAGCAAGAAGAATAAAGATAAACACAATTATTTTGCTTATCAACATTTTGTATGTGTATATTCTTCAGTTCTTATCATCATGTAACGCATTTACATTGTCATAAAGTCATACCCAACGAGAAAAAAAGTATCGTTATCAGTAGTTTTGAGAAGAAAGATTTTTCTGTAATACAAAATACATACCACTTTCAATTTTCATATATAAATAGGATGTGAGTTTTTAATGAATAAAATACCGTCACCCACACACATCGACGTTTTACATACAGATTTTGGATCAGACGCTATAAACTGAGGAGAAATAGTATTTTCCAAAATAAAGAAGGTCTTCAAACGAGGGATGGACCATATCCCTTAAAAGAGAGAAACTGTTCCAACTCAAGGAGAAATCCTTCACCACATAAAGTCAAGGGGATATTTTTTCCCATACAGGTCGAAACAATTCGAGGTCCAAATGTTGATCCATATCTCCACTCATAAGGAGAAATGAAAGAAAGAAAATAGAGATATGAGTTTATTTCTTTTATCACTATAAGAGGATATTCTAGCAGATTTGATTTTTTATCAGCAGAAATGAATAAATTATAATACGAAATGGTTTATTCATATCTCCATCGATAAGGAGATATGAAAGAAAGAAAATAGAGATATGGGTTTATTTCTTCTATCACTCTAAGAGGATATTCTAGCAGATTTAGTTTTTTTATCAGCAGAAATGAATAAATTGTAATACGAAACGGTTTATTCATATCTCCATCAATAAGGAGAAATGAAAGAAAGAAAATAGAGATATGGATGATTTTATTTTTCATTGTAAGGAGATGTTTGTGTTATCGTTAGTTGTATAAGAAGATGGTAGTTTCGGAAGCAGAATAATAGTTTTGTATCAGGATAAAATGCAAATATTCAGTGAACAGGGAATGGTTACTTTGATCATTCTCATTGCTTGTAATAGAACATATTCTACGAGTATTACTTAAGTGATATGGTTTAGTTCATCACTTGAAAATAACTCATTTTAGTGAAAGTCGAAAGAATAGAAGAAGAACGCACGAAGATAACGAAAGGAAAATTACCATACGAACATAGATGTAAAAATAAAGGAGAAAATCCCGTACGATTATATACGAAGGGATAGAGAAAAATAGCATATACAGATATATATGTGAGGGAAAGTAAAAAAATACTATATAATCATATACATGAAAGAATGGGGAACAAATAATTTATATGTTCGCTCATGGAAGATATTCTAGGGGATGTAGTTTTTACTAGTAGAAATGGATGAATAATAATATGAAATAGTCTATCCATATCTTCACTCATAAGGAAAAATGAAACTTGAAAAAAGGATTTCTCTCGAAATGAAAATATGGATATCGTATTGATTTAGATATTGAATTTTCGTATATATTCAGGTTTGTTTGATGTCTGTTTAAAATAAAAAGGATTTCTCTTTGCGGTGTATGAAGGTAGAGTATCGAATAATTCATTGAATAGATGTTGCTTTCGTGTTTTCTATTTTTCCTTAATGTGTTTCTTTTGTTGGGATAAACCATTTCTCCTTGAAGTGGAACAGTTTCTCGATCGACGTCTCCAATGGTCCATTGCTGCTTTAAACAATGAAATTGAGTTTTCCAACATTGTAAATAGTATTTGAGTTTGAACTCAATCTCACTTATAAGACGTGCCTATATCATCGACGAAAAAGTCAGCTTGTTTAGTCAAGCATCAATGGCTATATTCGACTTTTTTTTACAGGTGCATGCCTTTAACTATTTAAAAAA